ACTCGTATATCGATTGGAGTTGGTCCAGTGCCCAGATATAGTCATTTTCGTCTTCACCACTGAGGAAGGCAAAGGCAATACAGAATGACCGCTGACAGGCATCAACGCCGATCATATCGAGCAGTGGCATCTTATATTTGTTCGTCTTGTATGTGCAGTCTAGCAGTAGTAATTCTGGGTATGCGTTGAGGTATCCTAGAGACGCTGGGTGTGCGAATAAGACTGCTGTGACTCGGCCATCATGATCAAGCTGTATGCGGCTCTGGAACCCCTCGTTGTCAAGCTCATTGGCAAGGGCATGCATTGTGCTCTGGCCAGCAAGGAGCTCTCGTCTGCGCTGTGCGATACAGTTATATATGTCTTGCTGTGTCGCTCCTTGGGCAGTCTGAGAGCTCTGGCGCATATATGTCCGGATATCCTTTGGTGCTATGCCAGCGCTTGAGAGGTTCCCAATAGCTGACTGGTCAGTTGAGGAGAGGGCACGATGAGCTGGATGTGCTGTAATATGCAGACTGGGCTCATGGTTGTGGACCGACTTCTCCTCGCCTGGGCGATGCCTGACATACCAGTACGACTTATCAAGGCTCTCTTTCGCATTGATGGAAAACTGGCATCCAGTGATACGGGAGCTTGTAGACCGTTGCCGATCAGCTGGCTTCTGGTCCTTGCTTGTATGAGCCCCAAGTCTACCTCCACGATCGCAGGCAAATATGACTGTGCGTCTTCCGGACCGCGGGTCTCTCGTGGACTTGCCTGTGGTGAAGGCATAGCCTCTTGGAGCCGCCCACGCATTAATTGAGGCAGAAGAGACTCTCGCGAGTCGAACTGGCCCTCAGGAGGAAGGCAATCGTCAGGAATTCAGTAAGCCCCATATTGGAATTATCTTGAAGAGCTAGCTGTAGTGCACGACAGTGAGCAGCTCTTTATACACAAAGAAAGAAACTCCTGCTTTGTGGACGTGGTGCAGAACCCTTGTAACCGTGGCCGACTGCGAGTTTAAATGCAACCTGTGTTTGAGCTTTGGCCTCAATGGGGTCCAAGCACCACGCATGCAGGCGCTCGACCTTAATATGCGGATTATAGCATCGCTTCCGCGGACAACTACTCTGAGCGCAGATGGTATGCTATATGAGGCTGGCTCTCTGTGCGACAGTTTGCCACATGCAATAGAAAAGGAGAGTACAGGTCAGGGGGCGGCCCGACTATCTTCCGCCTGGGCTTACATAACAGGCGCGGACGTCCGCGCCGACTTTAAAGGCGCGGGGGTCCGCGCCTCTATTGGCTCCCGGGTGATCGTTGACCCTGAATCGTCTCTAGTAAAGTACTTTATGGTAGCAGTATCAACCTTGGGATGATAAGGCTGCGCAGGTCTTCCCGTTGAAGCCACTTCAAAGGCTTTGGCTACCTGTCCACGCTCATACGACCTCACTACTTCCCAAATGGTGCCAAATCTTCTATAAAGATGCGACGTCCATCTGGGATCGTTAATGGAACATCCATTGCCGAGGTCCTTCCACGTGGTCAGGGTGATGATTCGCCCCCTGTCATCAGGGAGATCGTAGGCGCTCAAGGCAAAGTCTGTGTAGCAGAATTCGCAATTGTGGACTTGGAATAGGTCGTTATGCAGAAAAGACCAAGCTTCGCTTATGGGGCGAATGCTCCAGATGCGGTCACCGCGTGAGAGAGCGTGGCTATAGGCCTCGCTCCAGCGCATGTGGCTGCAGCAATATCGCAGCGCCCATTCCCATTCGAGGAGTTGCACGACTTTGGAGGCGGCATCTCGGAGACCCGCTGAGCCCTTGCATGGGAATATGAGTTTCTCAGTCTTTGCAACAAGGCGCCCGTTGAGGATTTGACATTGAGTGGTGGAAACAATCTTCGGATATCGGGATTCATCGAAGTATTCGTATCGGGAGCTCGATGATAGAGCCTCTTCGGAGTATGTCGACCATCCATGTCGATGACATCTCATTGCCCCGGCTATCATGTTGAAGTGAAGCTGGAAGGGAAGAAAAGGGGATGCCATTTGGCACGTTTCGAGTAGTACCCTCAAGTTTCCGCTGGTAAGCTGAGCGCAAGGTCGGATGGGCAACCCAGGATCAAAATACCACAAGAGTGGAAGGGATAGGTTAGGCGGATGGAAGACTTGGCATTCGGGGCAGAGAACGTCGGCTGGGCGCACACCATCTCTCTCCAAGCGAGTAAGTAAGTGGGAGCGTGAAGTACCCTGCAGCTGCAAAGACCCTCGCCCCAGCTTGCGAAGCCCAGTTCGGCTGACGAGGGCCAATGAAGCTCGGTCTGTTGGAGACATGTGTGCGGCAATCTCGAGGATGAGTTCTGTCGCGAGTCTCTCGAGCGCAGAAAGGCCGCCTTCATGCTGGAAGCTGCGCTGGCCCGCTGAGGGGGCAGGACGGCAGGGTTTATCGATAGAATGGCCGGGGAGGCGGTGCTTGGGTTCTGGAGAGCCTGCTGGGAGCCGGGAGTAGCCTTGATGACGCTTAAAGAGGGAGGCCAGAAACGATGCCATGGCGATGGTATGATTCCGCTCTGGAGTGGAGGTGGTGGAGGAAGAAGAAACGAAAATATTTAAAGGCGAGGCGTCACGACTTATACTTTCATTACGCATCCTTAACTTTGCCGCTACTTGGCCTCTTGCCACAGGCTATGTGGCTCATGTGCCCTGGCCGGCGATGGCGGAAAAGCTGAAGCAGCAAGTTGGCGACGGCGACTGGGCGCGGTGGGCCTCTCTGCTACAGCTGCTGCTGTGGCTGCTGCTGTGACTGTGGCCCGGGCTGCGGCTGTAGACTTGATAGTGATGTCAGCAGCACTGTTCTAATCTAATGGCAGGCCCAGCAGCAGAAGCATCGTAGGAAGCACGGGAGAGACACGGGCAGTGATATGTATCACGGGAGAGACACGGGCACAGCAGATAGAGGAGCATCACATGATACATCTAGACGACCTCCTCTAAGTCTATGGCATCACAGCGAGTACCAGAGCTCCAATGGAGACAAGAGATGACAGATGGGTGCCTGCAGCTTGGTTTCAATCCTGGCTTGCTTGTCGTGTTTCCACGGGGCAAAAATACCCGTGCTGCTGTTGGCAAAGGGAGTAATTAAGCGAAGCTGCTGTAGCCTGGGCAAGCCGCACGGAGCGGATAAACGCCAATGCCGACGACAGCTTCACTTCCTCCGGCGCGCCTAGCTATGTGCCTGTTGCTTCCTCATGCCACCGTATTTACATGACAGAAGCTGGGCTGCCTTGTGTGCGGGCTGCCGGCCGCTTGACTGTTTGCGAGATGTGTGTGCTGCCGCGGCTTACATCTCTTTTAGGGGGCCACATCACAAGCCATTACGAAAAGATCAGCATCATCACGGTAGCTTCATTCATTGTCCAAGAGGGAGATTGAAAATTCCCCCCTCCCCAGTGGGGGGGCTCATTCGCCTGCGGCGAGCGCCTCCTGCCTGCGGCGCTGATGATGATGATGTTTATTTCGCCATTGACGATAGTCAGAGGCACTGCGTCAGACTCGCTAAGCCTATTCTAGAGTTGTCCAATACTCGGTTCCGAGCCCAAGGAATTCGTCCCGATCGAATGCCTAAATTTCTCTTACATCCTTCAATCCGTCTCTTGCTCATTTGACCTGTCCTTTCCAATTCTGGAGCCTGTCTGATGAGGTACAGACCACTCTCCTCCGCCGCATTTGACGAAGAGTCCACCTGCCTTTAGCCGTCCGGTGTAGCTAACCTACCAGCTGTGGGGCAACCACAGGTATAGGTAGAGGGTTTGTGCTGAAAAGAAAAGGTTAAGACAGAGGATGTATGTTAGTAGGGCGACGGTCGTAACTTGGCGAGTTCCCGGCGATATACCGGGCACCCAGGATCTGTAGCCTTGTGTGCTCCTTTTCCACCGCACGCTGCACACTTAAAAACGTTCGAGGTGCAAGTCGACGCAGAATGGCCCGGTTGGGCGCACTGTCCACAGATCGGAGCTGGGGCCTTGCAGCGATAATGCAAGTGTCCGTAGAGGTGGCAACGGTAGCATCTCGCTGGTTGAAGTCCCTGAACGAATGGTCGCGTGTATGCACACTCGCCATTCGCCATCTCAACCGTTCGTTTTGCAAGCAACCTGTCCACCTCCTCTTTCTTATCCAGGTGTACCACCAGAGAGCGGTATTCCTTGTCGACAGACGCTGTCCCGAGCCATCGCATCTTGTGCACTGACCGACTGAAGGCTTGACGTTGAATCGGCCTACGTCCGGCTAACATCCGCTGCAGTTGCCGTTCGAGCTGGGACCATACGGCCAATCACACACTAGCGGACCCGCTGAAGGAGCTCGTTAAAGAAGTAGTAGCCGGCAGCTACGTGGGTAGGTATTCATGGCGACCCATGGTCTAGTGGTTGAGGCGACCCATGACCCACCTATCCCCACTCTCAATGAGACTGGTTCGTGCTATGATCTTTAGTTTTTAATTGGTCAAATAACACCCACAAGTGGAGCGTCGGTCGCCGACTTGTAGTAGTAGTAGTAGTAGTATTGATTACCGTCTGGGACATCCCTATAAGGGCAAAAGACGTGCTAGGCTAGGTATAGTACAAGATGGGGATGCTCGTCGGAGACCCGTCGCGCGTTCCTTACTTCTACTCCTATCTAGCAATTCTTGGACTCTGTGGCCGCTCGGATTCTCAGGTCCCTTCCCCCGTCAGCGGGTTCCGGGCACGGCGGCGAAGCCGTAATATTAGTCAGTCTTCGGTCAGAGCCGGGTGACTGAGAAAGCCCACGCAGTCAGCTGGGCCGTAGGCCCACAGGGAGCCTACGGGCAGAAAACATAGAAAAGAGAGTTGTACATATTAGGTTGGAGGGTTGCCTCGAGCTAGTGGCGGTGGCAGACCCCATCAAAAAAATCTACCCCCGTTACTAACCCGCGGAAACGGCCAAAAACCCCTCCCAGTGCCTGGTTGTTAGCCTTGCCCGCCGTGGGGGCTGGCCTTAGGCGGTGTCAGTACCTACCTTCCGGCAGTAGAGGGGTGTGTCGGTGATTTTCTCCTCCCGCAGAGCATTCGATCCGGGCCTCTTCGTGGTTAAACCTCTCGTGGTAGTCGGCGAAGTCCCCGTGCCCGCTCCTCGCAGCGAGCAGGTGATGGAGGTGCTCTCGTTTGGTGTGCAGCTCCGGGGGGCACCCGAGCGAGGCCTTGAGCTCTAGGCTCTTGTAGCTGCTCGGGGCCCCGCGGCCCACCAGTCCTGGAAGTCGCGCCTGGCCGCAGCCTTGGCCTGTCTCTTGATGTTCGCGTAGGTCGGCGATCTGTCCGGACCCTCGGCCCGGCAGCCCTCCTTTGCTAGCTGGTCGGCCCGCTCGTTGCCGGCGATCCCCGTATGGCCGGGGCACCAACGCGTGCTGACATCTCCGTGTCGAGCCGCGGCCTCAGCGAACTTCTCCGCAGCCGCTTGCGACGAGATCGATGGGCTGCCTCGTATGGCTCTTATAGCCGCAGTGTTATCAAGGCAGACGACTATCGGCCACTGCTGGTCCGGGGTTCTGGGGGACCACGTGAGTGCCGCTCGAAGCCCCTCGAGGGCGCCTTCCACCTCTGCTCGGTCGCCGACTTGGTCGCTATCTTTAAACTCAGTAAAGCGGAGCATCGATCGCCTTAATATGACTGGTCGCTACGTTTCATCTCAGTAAAGTGGAGCACAGGTCGCCTCAACGAGGGCATCATGGGTCGTCGTGTCATCATTACCCTCTGCAGTTACGCGGTCTTGCCATTCACAAGACCCAGGAGAAGCCAGGAAGGAGCCCAGAGGTCGACAATAAAAATGACAACCTCGCCCTCGTTTGCTTCACAGCCTGTCCCTTTTTTCCTCTCCTCTTCAGGCCGGCAAGAAATCTCTTCTCTTCTCTCAACGCTTGTCGCCCGCCCACTTACACACGCACACACACACACACACACACACACACACCACACACGCACACACTCTCACACACGCGCACACACACACACAATGCAGCGCCAACGCCGCGGGAACTTTGCCTCGTCCACCAGCGCCTCCCGCCGCCGCTCCAGCCGCCATGGCGGCCCTGCTTCTCCTGCCCGGCACGCCACCACCACCACCACCATCACCGCTGCCGCCGCCGCCGCTCAAGGCTCCTCTGGTGTCCCCGCCCCCGCCCTTACCACCACCACCGCTGCCGCCGCTGCCCTGACGCCGCCCCCGATCCCGGCTCGTTCTGCGGCTCGTTCTCTGGCCCCGGCCACCGCTCCCAACCCCGGCCCCAGCTCCCGCCCCAGCTCCAGCTCCAGCCCCGGCCCCAGCTCCCGCCCCAGCTCCAGCCTCCGCCCCAGCTCCCGCCCCGGCCCCAGCTCCGATACCCGCCCCGCCCCTTCCCCCTCCGCAGTTGGTGCGGCGCCCATTGTGGCACCGACCCATTACACTTGTACGCCTATATTCCAAACTCCGTTCTTTGGGTTCCTGTTACTGACATGGGTATCAAGCTCACGCCGAGCCAGCGCCACGCACCGATTTGCCCCACCAGTCGCAGCCGCCGCCGCAGCGAACCACTCTGTTGCGACAGACCGCCGTGCCCTTTGTGGCCTCCGCGCTGGCCATGGCGGCCGCCAATTTCTGCGCGCTAGCGTTCCAACCAACCCCGGAGCAGCGCGAAGGCCGAGAAGGCCGGTGGACCACGGGGCACACCATGATTCATGTCAGCAGCCTCGGCTGTCTGTCGGTGGTCCTTGTGAGCGCCCCGGCAATCATCGACGCGGCGAACGAGTGGAAGGAGACCCCAGAGGTTTGGCGCGCCGTCCGGACCTAGGAGGATTCGGCGGCGTATGCCGTGCTGGGGGTGCTTGGCCTGGGAAGCATGCTCTCTATGTGGGCATGCAGTGTGTGGTGGTGGACCAGAGATGGCCACGGGGTCCTCCTCATATTGGCTCTGTTTCTGTTCATGATGGGCGCGATTGGGCTGCGGGCTATGCTGTGGAGGAAGAGACGGACTGCTGGCTAATTCATGGGGCGGCGTACGAGTATCACTTTGATGGCGTTTTTCTTCTCCCATAGCTGTGCTTCATTCGCTTAATAAGACTTGCCATTCGACTTTCAGAGTTTCTGCTGAGTTTAGTGGACGAAACGCCATACAGCCAGTAGTCTCCCAAAGGACGGGGAGGAAAATGGCGTTATCACCTAGTACTTGCTGTGAGGAAATAACTAATGCCGAAGGTTCACAGGCGATGGAACTAGGTACGTACCTACGGGCCAGAAAACAGGTCGCAGCTAGGTAGGTCACACAAGCACTCCGCTAAGTCAGCCCACCTAAAGTCCGGCACACCCTAACACCGGCACTCTCTATAACACTATCGCGTCGTTAAATATATTATATTGCAACCGCGTTTTCTCGTATATCTCTTGCCCTATAATTATAAAATAAATACTATTTATATTAGCAATACCTTAGCTTTCTAAGTATATAAAAAACTAGCTCTAAGAAGTACTTAAAGCTATTAAAAACAGGATACCTTAGCTTTATATTAGTTAAAAGTAAGGTATTTTAAGAGGGACCCTCTATATATATCTTAAAGGGGCTCTACTTATTAAGGAGGTAAAAGAGGTATATTAAAGGCTTAGCTAAGAGTAGGAAAAATACCTTATTAACTAGGTTCTTACCTAGGCCGCCCTTAGGCTACCTTTAACGTATTATTAAGTTAAGGAATTTACTAGCTATATCGTTAAGGCTAGCGGTAATACCTATCTACTTAAGAAGAAATAGATTTTAGGCTTTTTAGCCTAGAACCTAAAGATTAGTACTATTAAAGGTAGATCTCTTAATTCTACTTATATTAACGGCGCCTTTATAGCCTATATAAGAGCGCTACTAAGAGGTATAGGCTAATAAAGCACTCGGGTATATAGTACTAAGGTATTAGTAGGGTATTAGTAGGGAATTATTATCGCGAAGCGTGGCCTGATTTCGCAGTTCTCGGAGATATCCCTTAGCACGAGGGACCTAGGAAGCTAAAAAACAGGTTTTAAAGAAGGAGCTAAAAAGAGGTGCAGAAAGGAGGGTAGGGGCATAAGGGGAAGCAGAAGTGGCGATAGCTTCCTATAGAGGTAGCGAGAGATAAGACGGATGTGCCGGCAACGGCTAGAAAGGAGGGGAAAAACCGGCAAAAAGCTCGGTAGTTAAAAGGACATTAGTAGCTTCTTTAAGCAGGATCTTCTTTATTAATTGAGATGCTAGACGGGTATAAAGAGAGGCGTTAGATAGAGGAAAGAAGGACAATCAAGGCAATATAACAATCACTCCCCTGCCGCAATTGCTGCCCCCGCAAGAATTATATCTCTCTGCCCTGCCTATCCGACCTCTTACTTCTAATTTCACCTTCGTGCATTTTCATGCACTTCTCGTATCTCTCTTCGCGAGAGTTATGAGCCCGGGAGGAATAGTATTCCTATACCTTCCGGCTGCTGCAAAAGGCACCCTTCTTGCATCCCTCGTGGCTCCCTTTTACCCCTCTTACTAGAAAAGCCGATTTTTAACCGACTTTTCTGCCCCCTCTCTCCGCAACGATAACGAAAATCGACTCCTCTACCGTCCCTACGGTCCGTAGGACGATTCTTACAGAACCCTAAGATTAGGATAAGTAGGTAAAGGAGCTACGGGCTTATATAGACAGGACCATCTATAATTTAGTCTTCTCTAATAAGCAGGACCCTCTCGAGCCCCCTCTTCGTCCTAGGGTAACGGACTTTATAGAGGGAGCTTCCCTCTTCTCCGAGCTAACCTCCGTATAATAGAGAGCTTTTTCTGCTGCCTTAGGCGACTACGAGAGTCACCGAAAGGAATACCTCTACGAGACGAAGCTGCTAACTGCTGCACGCACGGCAATAACGGAATCCGTTAGTGCCGCAAAGCTAATTACTCTTTAAGAGGAAGAGACTCCTAGGCAGTGGCTTTTAAAGCTCGAGACCTCGATAGCTCCCTCGAGAGGTTATATAACTAACCGTATTAGGAAGACCTATACGGCCTACCTAGGAGCCTTTTCTGCTAGGAACCTGCTAGCTTCTTCGTAGCTAGCTAAGTAGGAAGAAATCCTCGAGGAAGCTAACTAATACTTCCTTATAGAAGCTCTTTCCGGCTAGTAGCTATAGGATATATCTCTACTAATAAAGCCTATTAGTAACGGTTACTCGACTATCTTTCGAGAGGCTAGCTAAGAACTAGACGAAGAAGCTACTAGAGTATAATAGCAAGCAGTCTTATTCCTTCGTAGCTAGCACTCGACCTAGACGGCTCGACCTGCTGCCCCTATAGCTGCTGCAGCCTCTATTGCTGCGGTTCCCGCTACTGCTGCTGCTGCGGCTGTTGCCCCTCCGGCTCTACCTCCCTCGAGAGCATTAACACCGTCTTTAACGGCTGCCCTAGGCCCGGCCACGGCTCCGCCTCTTACTCCGGGCCCGGCCCCGGTCCCGTTAGTTAGACCGGCCCGACTAGTCCCCTAATAGACCTTTTAGTCCGTTAGTCGAAAAATCAGGGAACTAGTCGAAAACGAACCTCTTCGTTAAAATCAGCAATAAGGGGTAAAAAGGGGAGGTTTTTAAGCAGACCTTCCGGATCGGGACGAGGATTCCTCGAAGAAATAGAAGACTAGACGACGAAACAGCTGCCTAGCCTATAAATCCCTAGGCCATCGATTATTATAATGCTAGTAGGTCTTTGAGGAAAACCGACCTAAAGGATTTAACCCTTTAAAGAGGCTATAAGAAACGATATAATAGTCTCTTAAGGAGGACCCCTCGTTATAGAAGAAGATAGACGAGATTCGGGTTGCTAAGAAATAGCAACTAACGCCGCTGCCTTTATTCGAGCCGTAAATTCGAGGAAAAATCGTTAGTATAGCAAATCCGGCATTTATCTTCCCTACGGATTAGCAAGACCAACCGTTAGAGCCCTCCGATTATCCCCTACGAAAATCAGCTATCCTTAACTCTAGTACTTCCCTCGATATCTATAATATACTCTTACGATTCCGGTCCTTTAAGAAGGCACGGAGGGAATACCTTATTACTAGGGAATTAACCGTACGGATAGAGGGATATAGAAGGGTGAATTTTACGATGAAATTACCTAACGGGTCTATATAAATTCTTCGACGAAAAAGGGTAGCTTTTTGCCCTCGATTTTTAACGAGCCTAATTTCCTTCCGCCTTCTTCGAGAGGAAGGAATCTTCTAGGATACGACGTCTAAGCCTACGAGGCTAATCTAGAAGAATCAGACTATTAGGCTCATCGAGGAGAAATTCGGTTAATTTGTTCTCGAATTCCGACCTATCCTTAAGAAGGAACCACTCGAGAAGTTAGCTTTCCCTACTCGAAGGAGGGTAGGTTTAAAGGACCCTCTTCTAGCAGCCTAAGGAGACGGCATTCTTTGGCACGCACGACTTAGTCACCCGGGCCCCCTAGCTTTATATAAGCTAGGTCAATAATAAGGCGTACGAATAAGGGGCCTAAAGACCGTCGAATGCGAATACTACGGCTAAGGGAAGACTAGGAGACGAATTTCTAGACGGACCCTAATACGGCCGGACCAGCCGTATAAGGAAATTTAGGTCGACTAGACCGACGTCTCTAGGGATTAGGAAAGCTTCGTTAGGGTAATGTTTTTTATAGACGCTTTTTTAGGGATGGTTTTCCCCTATTTCTTACGGACCTACCTAAGTAAGCATAACTAGTCTGCCCTCTAAGACTTCGTTAACTGGATGAAATCCTACTTTAGCTATAAGGTAAAGAAGATACGGTCTAACGGAGAGCTATTTACGAAGGATATCTTAAATTAGCTTCGAAAAAGGGGCATTATACCCCTCCCGTTAGCACCGAATACCTAGGCCTAGAACGGAGGGGCAGAAAGATTAGGGGGTGCTATAATAGAAAGGGCCCGTACGATGAGACTTACTATAAGGCTTCCCTATAACCTTTAGAGGGAAGTCGTTGAGACCGCCTATTACCTATAGAACCGGACCCCTAGAGGGACTACCTAAGGAATAGACTAGAAATCCCCCCTCGAGCTCTTTACGAAGAAGAGGGCCTCGCTAGCCTACCTTTATGCTTACGGCTATAAGGCATTCGCAATAACTGCCGATATATAGCTAAAAAGGAAGAAGAAAAGAAAGCTTAATCCGAGAGCCTTTATTAGTTACCTCGTTAGTTATAATTCTACGAATATCTTCCGGATCTAGATTCCTCTTCTACGGAAGGTTATTTCGACTAGGGATATAATTTTCGACGAATCTAGCTTCTTCGACGGAAAGAGGGATCAATAGCCCCTCTTACTCTCTTAACGTTAGCTAATTTAGAAGATTTAAATCCCCCCTTCCTAACAGTCTTAAGAAGAGGTCCTAGACGAGGAAACGGAAGAAGAAACCGACGTCGAAGTAGTCGAGGATAACGCCGACTTCGAAGAAGAAGAAGAGGAAGCTGCTAGATTAGATAATCTAGACGAAGAAGGAGACTATAGGAAAGCGGTAGAGCTAGAATACGCCTACCTACCTACGCCTCCTCTTATAGAATAAGAAGAAGATCTAGAAGCAGCTTTTTTAGTTAGTCTTCCCGTCTCGACCCCTAAGGGGGTAGGAAAGGCACCTCTCTCGAAGGATTACCCGGCTGCCTTTTTGTCCCTACTTCGAGAAGCAAAGGAAGGTATAGGGCCCGATACGAAAGAAGACTAACCTCTCCCCTATTTCGATCGTTTTTCCGACTTCTACTTAACGCTAATAGAAGACGGTTCCTATAGAGCGTTTATAGCAGGCCGGCTATTTAAG